CCGTCCGTCCAAGCTTCCATCCAGCCACAGCACGCAGCTGGTATAAACCCGCGTGTTACTTTCCATGCTCTTGAGAAGAGGTCATATTGCAAAATGAAAACACGAGTCTCGGAAGTGCTGCGAAAACCTACGAAACTCTTCAACAAGAAATGCAGTCGAACTCCTTAAGCAAGCTCGAAACCCATGCACAGCGCAAATTAAAATCCTGCTTTGGACCCCGAGAACACTCTGATTCAAGCCCGCTAACCCTGCATGCACAGTTTGTACAATTAAGACACTCGCGCATCCCTTGTAGATCTACTGCACAGCATTTAAATAGTTTCAATCCCTCATGAAAGCCATGCACAACCCTTACGCAAATCCTGTGCAGCATGTAGGACTCTCTATCAAAAACGCATAGAAACCTTGAAACCACTGACAAACGTTTTTTACAAGCAGGGAAGAAACTTTATGGCCGGCTTGACAGTTGAAGCTTCGGTCGTGACTATGTGAAGGAGGTCTAGACCAGATTCCAGCCACCGATAGGTAGTAGGTCATCTTGAGGTCTGTAAAAAATGCTGCAGCTGAGATTGCCATCTGCACTGTTGCTTTGATCTGCAAAGGTTCGCATCCCAACAGGCAGGCGCATCCCTCACCGCACCGCCTATATATACCCTTCCTACGGACAGGATTATGCGCGCTCTGCCTGCGCGAGGGCTTGCAAGCGCCGGCGCAAGGTTTCGATGGCCGGGCCCTTGGCTGGGTGAGTAAGTTGTTGCCCGGATGCTTCGAACACGAGAGCCCCGGAGGAGCCTCGATGCTCGCCACGAGGGCGTAAGCATGCTCCTTCCGGCTTGCAGCAAAGCGCTGGCTTGGATGGGTCGGGAATGAAAATGCTTCTTGACCTTCGTCTGTTGTGACAGTCCTGGTATTCCTGCCACTGCTGCTGCGACATCTTGCCACTGGCATTTGCAAGAACCTTTGGCAAATGCCAGACGACGAGCCACCATAGCGCCAGCGCACGCATCGCTCAGCATCTGTTCATGTTGGTGTCTGAAGGGCTGCTGATGTTGAGCCAGACACAGTTATCGCGAACACCTCAATAAACACTCGGGTTCATGCAAAAACTGGCATTGGGGTGCCTTGGTTGTCTTTACTCTCATTAAACACCGCGACCGCATGTGAGTGCAGCCTGTAGATACCGAATTTCAATATTTGCAGCAGATCAGCCTCCAGGTCCGCTGCATGCAGACCCGAGTGGGAAGACAGGAAGTCCTGAACATCAGCCAGTGCATCACGCTTAGCACGCCATTATCACCGCGGCGCGCCCTTGACTTGTGGTTTGCTTCCGAAGTTAGTATGCATGATTTTCTTTGGGTTTCCACGGGCCTTTGCGGGACCTGCTGGCACATGATGAGTGTTTCCGGCTGAAACCTCGGAAGTGTGAATCATGTTGGAGCGAGCGGGATTACCTGTGGATGGAAGGTTTGTTCGGAAATGTTAGAACCCATTAGACAGACTGGTGGTTCGGGCTAGGAAACAGGAAGCAGGTCAACAATCGTCCACAGCGCGCTAGAGTCTGGAGCCCAACCTCGGCGACCTTAGCTGAGCCGTGGCCACGGATGGCTGCATGGAGGGCTTCCTTGGACCATCGGAAACATGCGAACAGGCAAGAGCTGTGGCAGTGAGCATCGAAAGGTCCTGCATCTGTACATCCTGCCCTTGCAGAACACCGTCCAAGTTGCAGCCTCCTTCCTGCGCTCTGCACGCCGAGCCTGGCACAAATTTGGCGAAGTATTCCACGGGAGGCTAGGACACGCTCTACCAAACATGTCATACCTAAACCAACCTGCATGGCCGAAAGGGATGCAAGTGGAGTTGGGCTTGCATTCCATATCAGCCAACGAAAACGTGAGTTCAGGACACAACATGCATGTTCGGCCTCCCATGCCCGCAGAGTGACTTCCACTGCACATGCGATTTGCGAAGTGACGCTTTGCGGCGCGTTGGCAGCCACCGCCACGGCCTATCCGACGACAGGAAAAAGTGTCTGAACGATGCTGTGTTTTGTGCAGGCTTTGACCCGCCGTTCACGCCTGGCCATCTCGAGGCATCTCCGGTGGTTCGCGGAGCTCCTTCCGCAGCGTTCACGGCCGGAAGGGGGTATGGGGGTAGGAGGGGGGCAGACTGGTATGGATTTACACTGTGATTTCTTGGTTGTAGCATCGACCCGCTTCGGTAAGTCGCATGCTTGAACTCAGTAGGACATCAATTGACATACTTACCAACCAGATTTAGGGGACAGTCATACACCTCTATGCAATTCATGTCTTGTCGCGTGAGTCAGGAAAGATGCCTGAGCAAATCAACAGAAACAAAGCTTGATGAGAAAACGAGCATGCTGTGCCACCCACATATGATATGCAGAATCTAGACGTGAAAGTCTGCAAAAAGCCTGAAGACCTCTATCTGAGACTTGCGCTGAGTCTTCGCCTCCCAAATCTCTTTGGCACGCTGCGCATTCGCGAAGGTGGAGTCCTGAGTCTCAGCATGTAAGACGGCTAGAATTCCTGACCTCAAACAGTCCGCAGCCGTTGTAGTCGAGCCGCTCTTAGTGTTGCGAGCTTCGCCTCCATGTCCTGCCGTGCTCTGCGGAGCTTTCTTCCGAGTGGGAGCGGAAGCCTGGGCCCAGCTGGGCCGGGCCTAGGCCGGGCCCCTCCCAGGCCTTCAGCTTCGCGGCCATCGAGGCCAGGTCGCCATCCAAGGGAAAATCTTCGGGGTCGAGACCTTGGCGACCCTCCCCTCCACTGTTGCGCGTACCGATGCAAAGCAACCTCCCGTCTCAAATGACGATGAAGTGGTACAAAGGGAGGGAGAGGAACATGGGCACAAGCAGATCGGCCAAAGTGATAAGAAAACTATGAGACCAATGGGTGTGCAAGCGAGTGGAAGCTGATTCTATGAAGCCAGCTTGAGCCTTGTGCGACATTGATACCGCAGCTCAGGCATCAGTCAAACAACGAGGCAGGCAACACGCATAACACAACACGCATAACACCAAGGTGAGAAAACTGTGGCCGCATGCATTTCAAACGTTCTCGGAAGGCTCCACTAGTGGCCATGCTTCGCAAATCTTGAACAACACCAGTTGCGTTTAAATGCACTGAACTTATCGCGCTTGTTGGCCCAGTTTGTTGCTCTTGATCTGTTGGCCGCAACCAGTTTGGGAAGCTGGCAAATTCATCAAGTCAGACATGTGAATCAAACGAGTGCAGACAGGGCAAACACTTGCGAATATATGTTGTGGTCATGCCTGAGGGTAATTTAACTAACAAGTACACAATGTTTAGCAAGCGTTCGGTGATCTACAATTCGGATGGCTGACAGGACATGAACATGACATGTGTCACGACCCCCGGCAACTTGAGCAATAGTGTAGAGAGCAGTAGTATGCTGTGAGCTAGTGCAAAATTCGAGAGTGCTCTATTCACCTCAGGAACAACTCTGTGGTTTTCGTAGTTATGTACATTGTCTCGCGCTAAGTCCACTTCGCTCTTGATTTGCTGGACTGACAATTAATTTCTCCTACACCCTACGCCCTATGTCCTCGGAAATCCCCAATTCCGCTCATAAGTTCTTACGATATGTTGGCATTTGGCGGCTGCCCAAGGCCTGCTCCTAATGTGACTACCATCTTCATCCTTCAAGGTCTGCTTCACCTCGGACGCCCCTCCCCCAAGGTCGCCATGAACGTCCCAAGCAGCCCATGGCCCGCAGCGTCTCCTCGTACCGCTGCTTGAGGTCCCGCTCCCGCCGCGCGGCCTCGCGAAGGTGGGAATCCAGCCAAAAGTTCTTGTTGAATGCCAGTCCCTGCGTGGCGACTGTTTCGGTTTAGAGCCACGAGCTTCTCAAATGTGCAATTAAGCGATAAGCATTCAACCCACCTCTGCCTCCCCTTCCCCTAAGAACACAGCGAAGGCCTAGAATGCTTAGAAATGCCAAAAACGCGCAACACGTAGACGTAGACAGAGCCATGGCGAGGCCTCGGCCTTGAGCTCCTCGGGGCTCATGCCCGCCACATCCGAGGGGTCCAGGCCTCGCAAGGGCTGTGATTTTGCCTTTTGGGGGTGAAATTCCTGCCGATTGTAGCTCACCTCGTCAGGTGCGCCACTAGTGTAACAATAATCCGCCGAGGCCACACTCCACCTAATCTTCCCTGCAGCCCGAAAGTTTCGTGACACCCGGTTTTTGGCTTCCACCCCCCGTCCCGTTTTTCTGGTCCTTTTCCGACACTTTGCTGCTCCCACTTCCCTGCCCCCGTCCCCCCCTTCTCCCCGAATCGTGGACGGTTTGAGCTTTTCCAAGGCACGGATTCGGTCCTTCGACTGTCCTTCGGCCTACGATATAAGCTCGGCTTCACCCGCCTGGAGTTATCGGGTTTGGCGTGGCCTCGATGGGGAACGCGCCGCCACAACTGGACCCCCTCTTCTGCGAGGCTGACACTATGCCATGCAGCAACCGCCGGCAGAACACCGCCATGTGACTTAGCACACGGTCCAAATCACGAGAAGAAGTACCGGGCTTAATCCTACTTCAAAGCTTGTTTCTTTGGCCTCGTACTATTTACATGTCCTCTGATTAACTTGCTTAGACTCGCTTAGACCTCCACAACTCGGTACTCCACGTCCCGATTATGCAATGCCCGGCTGCTTCGAGCCGCGAAATGCCCATCTGGCCTAGGGCTGCGCAGGCTTCAGCGAGACCAGCCCGCAAGCGATCCTGCTCCTGGGCCGTGGCAACAGGAACTTGCTGTCACATGCAGTGAGAAAGACTCTTTGAACACTTCAAGATCTGACGCCGTTTTAACTGTGGCAAATCCGCTAAGGTCCTAGTCATCAAACCCGAGACCGGACCCCTAGCAGGGGTTGCTACTCTTGCCACGTTAGACATTCCGTCTCTTGAGTGTTGAAAGCAGGCGCTCCTCCACAGCTCCATCGACTGTGTCCAGCAACCTGCCAGCGAGCTTCGGAGATGTGCAAGGGCTGCTGATCGGTTCCGACACTCCAACTTGCCGTAGAAGCTGGTTTAGCCCTCTGCCGGCTGCCGCATCTGCCTAATTAATACGATGAGCCATGCTACTTTGCTGCAGTTGCGACTGCCGAACACCGTTTGACAAGCATTGGTGTGCCATGTCTTGGAGGCTGCAGCATCGCTATTCGGGGATATTCGGGCACCAATCAAGGCGGTCAACGTTCAATGCAAAATGCCGGTCATCGAGCCTTATTGCACAGAAGTTACGGGTCGCCTGCGAAGGGCAGCAACTCGTGGCTGCCAGGGTTTTGTCAGCGCGGCAGCAAGCTCCTGCAGTGATCGTTGCACTTGTGAGTGTTCAGCTCAGGCACCTGCCAGGCGCGGCAACAAAACGAGGTACGCACCCCCCTGGTACCCCCAATTCGGATCTCTCCTCTGCATAGCTCCCTTTGGGAAGGGTGGCCAGCTTGTCCTCGATGAGAGCCACGAGCTCCTGCACTCATAGCATCCCGAGAGTGCCGAGCGCCGGCAGCGCAGGTGCTCACAGATGTGTTCAGTCACTGTCGACACGACAATACCCCTAAAACAAAGCGATGCTTCAGACCATCGGAGACGGAGCCCTCTCGCCTGGCACTTCGCTGCCAAAGCACGGCAGCGCTGCTGCCACCTTGGCGGCAAGTGGTCTCAACTCTCATAACCTCCCGCATTTTTTCAGTATTTCCCCAATCCCGAGGTCCAAACTGCTTGATACACTTCTCTGTAGCTTGCAGAGCCGCGTGGACAATGTCCTGTCACAGCCGTTCCGTGCGATTGGATCCCGTAACAAAGCCGGGTCATAGTCATAGGATGAGAGCAGCACAACATGGGGCAGCTAAAGCTAAAAACTAACATCAATGCATGCCTGCACTTACACATGACTTGACACCAACACTGGCAAGCGCAGCAACAACAACAACAACAACAACGACGCCGACGCCGACGCCGACGCCGACGACCACCAGCACCACCGCCACAACAACAACAACAACAAACCAACCAACAAACCAACCAACAAACCAACCAACAAACCAACCAACCAACCAGCCAACCAACCAACCAACGAACCAACCAACGAACCAACCAACAAACCCACCACCACCACCACCACCAACAACAACAACAACAACAACAAACCTACCAACAAAATCAAACAACAAACACAAACAATCTGGGAGACTATGGTCCGGAGCATATCCCGAGTGTGTCTGTGTGTATATATAT